TTAGTGAAATCCTTATAGAGTATACTTACGTAATATGATGTTGGAGCTAGAGCAAATCCACCAAAGAACCCCATTAGACCACCAAAGAATGGTATGGTCATACCGACGAATAACGTCAATGCTATATAATAAATAAAAAAGAAAGTACAGTTAATATTGCAAATCCATCATGTGTTTAAGTAATTATGGAAAATGTAATTGCACTTACCAACATATGTTGTACGAACTGTGAAGCGAAGAAAAGTGGAAGGTTTTAGTTTGATAGATTTGACGGCATATGTTTCTATCATGTCAAACATAGGCATTGCGAAAACCTGCGTAAATTATTGGTAAGTTTATGAATGTTTTAGGCATTTTCGCTGATCATAACATCCAATAACATGGATGTTTTATGCATGTACATACCTGATAACTTCCAATAACATGGACGACAACAAACATGTTAGCAGCAGCAACAAGCCACATAGGTTTTTCGAGTGAAAGCAAGATGTTATCCTCAACTTGATTACCAAAGGCCCAATAGCCAAGAAAAGCGACAGGGAGGTAACAAATAGCAACGATGATATAAGCCACCCATACACCCTTCCACATAGGACCTTTGGAAGGTTTTTCTGGCGTTGAAGGAATAGTAGCTTGAATCTCAAGAACCACATTATGGCCAGCGTAGGCAAAAGCAACATCTCCAAGTGCACTCAAGAACATGAATACATTGTCACTTGTCTTTTCACCCCTAAGTTCATAGCTCACTACCCTACCTTCAATCCCTCTACCTAGAGATGTTGCCCAAGCAACTGTCGAATAAGTCAACGACATCACTGCAGCAGCCAAGGACACAAATGATATGGAATTGAAATTTGGCAAGTGAGAAAGAACAAAGTGGACTGAGGAAAAAATGATGATGAAGTAGGTAAGTTTTATTGGTTGACAATCAGGACAAACTGTTTCATGAAATTTCTTCAATGACTTGCCACCTGTAACCATGTATATTATGCAAGAACTTACGTCCACCACTATTTGTTGGGGTACAACTACCCAAAGACCAAGTTTCTCACCAAATGCATGTTGACCTAGCTCGTGGTATCTATCAAATCTTTTTCCTGGTACCATTTCATGCATCTCTACCATTTGCCATATTGTGTAAAATGTTATAGCCCACGACATCAACATTACTATTACTCCAGGGCCCCTGCAACAAATTCAACAATAATAGAAGGTATATTAGTTATTCACCCACTAATACATGTATTAGCTATACCCCATAATTTACATACATTAATTAAAGCTTTATTCGAGCAGTTTAAAAATTAACCCATTGACTATTATTATTTGACCAATCTCCAACTTTTCCTATATATATATATATCCAAAGGTACAAATAGAAGCTTTTTTATTTCTTATTTCTCTTCTCCATATTAACATCGTAAATGCAAATTTCTTCGATCCAGGTCCAAAAGTGAGAGGCGCCTTGTTTAATTTTAGGGGTATCTCATCTATCCAGAAATTTCATATATTATTACCATTGTTTTATTACTCTCTATTCCAATTTATGTGACACATTTTTCTTTTCGAGAGTCAAACAATTTAAGTTTGACCGAGAATTTGCTAATGAAATTTGTTTTTCAGAAATTTCATATATTATTCCCATTGTTTATTATATGTTTTAGTTTGATTGAATTTGAAATTAAAGTAAGATTATATAGAAAGACATTGAATTTGTAGTTATTATATTAACTAAATATTCTTAAAATATCCTTTAATTTTGAAATAAGTCATATCATTCTATTAAGAAGGATAAATGTGATTGGTGGCATTAAAAAATTAATAAATATAAAAAGTGATATTCTCTTTGCAAAATTCTAAAAAAATGCACAAATTATGATACTTCCTGTCAACTAAAGTTTTGAGAAGAAAAAACAAATCCCGAGTAAAATAATATATAATCTATTGACCCTAATTTTTCTCTTTTTATATTAAGTAGAATAATAATTTCATATTAAAATATCGTAATTTACAATCAAACAAATAAATATGACGTGGAAAAGTAAAAAAGCATACCATCCCATCTCAGACATGGCATATGGAAGACTGAGAACACCAGCACCAACCATGGCAGTGACATTATGAAAAGTAGAGTACCACCATTTCGCATTTCGATCGGATGTGATAGGAAGCCATGCATCTATAGCTTTGTCCTCCTCGGTTCTCGTATCTATCTCTTTTTCATTATCGTGAGCCATTTTTTTAAAAATTTTATTTTATACAGCAAAAAAAAAAAGATTTATTTTTCTTTTTCAATTTTGTGGAGGGAACCAATTAGAGTTACAAGTTAGAGATGAATAGGGAACAAAGAAGGACTCAATTTTTGAATATGTTAGAGTCCTCGATTTTAACCCTAGGAATGAAGAAGCATTCAGTTCCCTCACTGTATGCGCTTATGTAAACTTTTCTTATATATACTTTGAAGACCCTAAAACGACGATTCCTATTACAGGCTATCCATTAATAGCTCTGCCTCTCCATACAACTGTTATGTCCAAAAATTGTCTAATTACCACAAAAATATTTAAACCCTAAAAAATAGGCCAAAAATAAGGGTTTCTCAAAATGTGTGTCAAAAAATATTTCGCAAACTCAACCAAATATATTTATTTATATCTCCTTGTCAAATTTTATGTGCTTCTTTATTTATTTATCATTGTTAAATTTATTCTACCAAAACAATTTTTGTGCTTCTTTATTTATTAGCACTGTAGCATACAAAATTAAAACGCTTAATGTACATAAACTTTCTGATTTTTATTTAATTCCTCAAACAAATTTAAACTATTCATATTTGCTTGTTTAATACCTAAATTATGTATTGTTTTATTACTTTCATGAATTGTAGAACATTTTCTATCGAAACTCTCTACAGTTACGCGTAGCATTGAGGTGACCTTAGTCTTTTGGAATATTAATTAAGGATGACAAATATTTTTTCAATTTTAGGAAGAAATTATACAAGTTATTTTAATTTGATAGAGATGAATTTATTTTAGTCTACTATAGTAGAAATGTGAGTAAAAAGTGAGGTATTAACATGGCAGTGTTTTGTCTTTAAAATTGCATTTGAGGGTATTTTGGACACTTGACAAATGGATGCAACGTGGCTTTACCTTGGAATTGAAAAGACACGAATCATTTAATCACTTCACTTTGATGTTTTCACCTTTTCCCATTTCCGCCACCTATCCGATACTCACCACCCCTATTTCTAAACCCTTCTCTTCTAATAACAATTGCAAAATCCAGAGGTTAAAGGCCTAAGAGGTATCCATTCCACCAGTACATCTTGAATCCATTGGTACGGCGATGTCATCGACTACTCAGTCCTTATTTGCCGCCGCTATAAATGGTGGAATGAGGCCTCATTTCTCTCAGTCAATCAACGATATCCGTTAACTTTTACTTTTGATGATTCCTTTCAGGCTTTTGATCTCTTTACTTAGCTACATGTCGGTGTATAATTTGTGTATAATTTTAATTGCAGGTGACTTAAAAGAAAGCTAATATTTTGGATGTTTGGAAGATATAGAGATGGATATGGGGTGATGTTACAACTTGAACCAGTAGTTCGCATAAGGTATTTTTTTACCGCTCTATTTGAGCTTTCAATATTTTCTCATTAATATTCTAAGAAATCGTTTGGTGTGATGGATTAAGGGAGTTAATCCCAGGATAAATTTTAAGTACCCTTTATTTTTCTTATTTGGTGATAAAGCTTGGGATAATTTATCTCAGGATTATGAATTAGTATTGGAATAAGTTATCCCTTACATTGGGTGGTATAGTAATTCCGGGATAACTTATTCCGGGATACAATAGGTAAACGATAAATATATCCCTTTAAATTCTTTTTATACATCATTTTTCACATTTATGTATATTTACATTATTTATAATACCATGTATAATAATATTTACTACTCCTTATTTTTATGATAATTATACATATTTTTCTATTAAAAAATTACACTATATAAATATAATTTTTATTTATGAATTTATTTGACTAATTCTTATGTTTATTTTATTTTGATTTCTCATAAATTTTCTTCTCTTTAACAAACTTAAGAGGGAAGTTCTATTTTTAATCTAAATAAGAAAAAAAGTTGTATTTTTAAATACACATGGTACTCATCATGGAAATTGCACTTGCTTCAAATGATCTTAAAAGTTGAATTCTAAATTTGAATGATTATTCTAAATAGCGGAATTGCACTTCCTCACTTGAGGTGACGAGTGTATGATACTCAATGTTCTATTACCATGGACAAATACAATTATTTGTTATTACTTTTTAGCATGGTAAAAAGTACTATAGTGAATAGGCAAACAACTTGCTCAACTATAAACTTCCTCCGTGAAAGCTCTTTATTTTTTTTATGAGAACGGGAACCATAGCTGCTGCACAACACAACAGAGATATTATAGTTCTAAGCAAGTGCTATTTGACAAGTTCGAAGGAGAAAGTACCCAAATGTTGATTGTTCTTTTTTCCCTGATTTTCTTTTTAATAAATTTTTCAGGTCGTCTAGGTGTTATAAATCAGGAAGAAAGTTACAAGAGGACTTGGCCTTAGCCTCCGATTACAACACAAGGATAAGCACTACTTTATCCTTTAAAAAGAGGGAGGTGAAGCTAGAAAAATAGACATTCCAACCCTCGCAAAAACTAACTACCTATATGACTAGCTAACAAAAAGAATTGTCTTATCGTATTTGGTTCTTATTGAAGGCATTTGGCTCTTGTCCAGTTGGAATGAACCTTTTAGCCTCCACTGGAAGTTGATGATAGGAGTCATATAAGGATCCATTCTGACTGTTACCAGCAAGTTTGGCTAAAAAATTTGCTACCTCGTTAGCCTCTCTAGAACAATGCTCCACCTTGACATTAGCGTGTTTCTTCAATTACTGTAACTCCTCTATGATCAGGATCAGTCTGAAATTGCAGTATTTGCTTTAATTTATCATCTCCACAATAGCTAGCGAGTCCAACTCTAGTATGAAGTTAGAGTGATTTTTCTGACAACAGATGTTCATCCCGTGTTTAGCAGCCATTGCTTCTGCCTCTAGGTTACTTGCGCATCGAATGGGACAGGAAAATGCCAAGACAAAATCACCTTTTTCATTTCTTAATACTCCGCCCATACCAGCACTTTCATTGGTAGAGATAAAGCTACCATCTGTATTCAATTTTAGTGTTCCAGCAGTAGGGAATTTCCAGCAAACAATGGTGCTTTTGGGACAAGGTCTTAATCTTAAGAGAGTGTCACAAAAGGAGATCCAAGGTAATGTCAAATTATTAGAAGGAAAGGCTTAAGACATGGCACTCAAAATGTTCCTTTCTGTTTGCTTGATCATGATATGCACACTGAACTTCTTTCTTTCTCCGTATTTGCACTCGCAATTTTGTTTCCAAATTTCCCAACATATAAACAATGGGACAATCCTGATAATCATCTTGTGAATTTCATTTGTGGTCTTTTGATTCCACCAAATATCAATCAAGTGTCTAATAGTTCCTCGGTGAGCACGAATGCCTAGTGGCCTTCCAAAATGTTTCCAAATAAGTTGAGCAACTTCACCTGTAACAAAAGTATGAAACATATTTTCTACTATTGGGACCAAGCAACAACTACAATTGGTGTCCGTGTTAGCTCTAAATCTTGCAAAAAAATCATCAAAAGGAAGTTTACCTTGCCATAGTCTCCAAGTGAGAAAGGAGATTTTAAAGGGAATGTTATAACTCCGCATTTTTGCTAAAAACTGATTCAGAGGTCTCTTGGTTCTAAGCATTTCCCAGGAAGACTTGTTTGAGTATTTACCATCAGTATTCAAGTCCCAAAAAACTTGATCCTTTTTATTTTTGTTACCAATTCCAATGGTAATAATGTGTTGCACCATAGGTTCAGATAAAATATCTCTTAGCTTATGGATATTCCAAGAACCATCAAGTAAGAAGTGATTGACTAAGATATTTATGCTTTTTCTACTATCAGGGTAAAACATAGCAAGAGAACCTTTACCACTCCAATTATCCCACCAGAAGCTACTTGATCCCGAGTTGATCTGCCAAATCATATGTTCTTCTGCCTAACTTCTTACTTGAGTCATCATTTTCCATTGATGAGAGTTACCTGAGGCCCATTTTTTAGTAGTACTGATACAATATTTACTTTTCAGGAAGGCAGCCCAAAGAGAAGGAATATATCTGAATCTCCACCATCTTTTTGTAGCTAAAATCATGCTTTGTTCCTCCATACTCCTGATGCCAATTCCGCCCTCTGCTTCGGGATAACATAGGTTTCTCCATGAGCTCCAGAGATACTTCTTTTGACGTTGATGCACTCCCCAAAAGAAATTTGCAAAGTGTCTTTCCAAAAGTTTGAAAATTGTTTTAGGAGGATTAAGAGCTGCGAGAGTGTATGTTGGGAGTGCTTGGAGCACATGCTTGATTAGAACTTTCTTCCCTCCATAAGACAATATTTTCCCTTGCCAACCTCCTAATCTTATGATTACCTTGCTTACCATAATGTCAATGTACTTGATTTTTTTCCTTCCAACATATATAGGACATCCAAGATAAGTAAATGAAAATTTCTTATCCATAAATCCTGAACTGTTCCTCATCTTGTTAATCCTGGTGGCAGAGGCTTTAGGAGCTGTAAGAAAGAAGCTTTCCTCATTATTCACCTTTTGTCCTGAGCTAAGTTCATACTTCTTTATTTGCTTCATCACAAGTTTGATAGATTTAGTTCCTCTACTGCTGAATATTTCTATATCATCTGCATAAGCCAAATGGTTAATCATCGGCCCTCTTTTAGACATAGAAAAAGGGGTGAAATTATCATTTTGAAGCACATTATTCAGAGATCTAGTAAGTACTTCAGCAGCTAGAATAAATAAAGATGGAGATAAAGGGTCTCCCTATTTAAGTCCCTGAGATGAAGTGAAGAAACCTGTCCTTGAGCCATTTATAATGATTGAATACCAAACACTTGAAACAAGGTTCAAAATCTAGTTGATCCAATTTTCAGAAAAGCCAAATTTCCTAAGAACTGATGTAACAAAGTTCCAAGACATTCTATCATTAGCTTTGGCCATATCCAATTTTATGACTATGTTACCACCCTTGTTAGAATAAGAAATAGATTGGATGATTTCTTGAGCCCAGAGGACATTTTCAGTGATTAACATGTCTTTTACAAAACCTGATTGATTTTCAGAAAATAAGGTTAGGTAGGAGAGGGTTGAGTCTTAAAGTCAAATTTTTTGAAATAATCTTATTAGAAAAGTTAGATAAACTAATGGGTCTGAATTGAGCAAAACAATCAGGAGTGTTAGTCTTTAGAATTAGAGCTAGGCAAGTATGAGAAAAGAATTTGGTTAGTGTTTTTCCTTGAAAAAATTCAATGACAAAGTCAGTAATATCCTTTTTTACGATATCCCAACAACTTTGAAAAAAGAAGCCATTGAAACCATCTGGTCCTGCTGTACTATTCGCACTAAGGCTAAAGACAGCTTCCTTGATCTCTTCCTGCAAGGGCAATTTAGATAACTTTGTGTTATCCAAATCAGTTATAACTTTGGGAATGCACTCCAGGATGTTGTGGTCTAGGACTGGCTCAGGGAGATTAAAAAGTGCCTCAAAGTGTTTGACGGTAACTTTAGCAATTTTCTCCTTATTTTGAACCCATTTTCCTTTATTATTCTTGATCCTTTTTATCTGAAGCTTGCTTCTATTATTTCTAAGGAGGCAATGGAAATACTTTGAGTTTTTATCCCCTTCTTTGAAACATTTGATATGAGCCTTCTGTCTGAGAATAGAATCATGTAACCCCATCCATTTTGTGTATTTTGCATGAACCTTGTTCACCTCCTCCCTTCCTGCCGCAGTGTTGTGATTAATGTCAAATTCTTCTAAATTTTGAACCTTTTCCTCCCAAATAGTCACCTGCTTATGGATGTCACCAATATCATGTCTAGACCAATGTGTAAGTTTCCTGCTTAACGTTTTAAGCTTAAATTGAAGCCTCCACATGTCGTTGCCATGCACAGGGATGTCCCAAGCTTCTTTAACCACCTCATAGAAATCAAGTATCTTCACCCAACAGTTGAGAAATCTAAAATAGTTGGGACGATCTTGAGATAACTTAGAGCATTTCATCAAAAATGGTCTGTGATCCGAACCTGTTCTCACAAGATGTCTAACAGAGTTGTCCTGAAATCTTTGAGCCCAAAGGTCGTTAATAAAAACTCTATCAAGTCTTTTCCAAATTCTTTCCTTTGGCCTTCTATTGTTACACCAAGTAAATTTCGGGCCAGTGAAACCAACATCTCTAGCCCCACAGTTATCCAAACAGTTAATAAAGTCCAAACTTTTGTACATCCTATGGGGCTTACCACCGATCTTTTCGTCTGGATCCATGATGGCATTAAAGTCACCACCAATACACCAAGGTTCAGAAATAATAGAGTTAACTTGTTCCAGGCTATTCCATAGATCCTGAATAGCTCCTTCCTGTCAGTAAGAGAACACTTAGCATAGACTGATGTAAAAAACAAACTCTCATTACTACTATCATCTTTGAACTTGATAGCAACTTGTTGATCTGCATTGGCAATAATTGTAGCAGTGTAGTTATTTTTCCAGAAACATCAAATTTGTCCATTGCTGTTGGAGTGAAAAAAATGGAATCCCATGAATCTTTTGTAACCCTCTATCTTACCATTACTGGTGAATGGTTCAAAGATAGCCATAAATTGAACACGATTAATGCTAATAAGATTTTTGAGCCTATGGATGGCTTTCTTGGATCGCACTCCCTTAATATTCCAGAAAATTGCTTTAATCATTGGATATTTGGGGTATTGTCCGATTTTGTTTCCCTTCTTTGAGAAGAGGCTGTTTTGTTTCTCTGTTTTCTACCTGTCTTCCTGATTCTGCTTCTTTCTCTTTCAATTGAGGTACTCTTTGAGTAGTCTGGATCAGACTCCTTACCAGTAGTTGGGATTGGGAATATGGATAGTTTGTCTCTTAAATATTTTTGTCTTTTGTAGTGAACATAATATACAAGAAAACAATGGATTGCTTGGTTGCTTTCAACTAAGCTTCATAATAAGCAACACCAACAAATAGATGAGAAAACAAGAGTTGTGGGGAAATAAAAGATATTATAGACGATATCTAGCAGAGGCTTAAGAAGATCAAGAAATTTGACATACCAATAGTTCTTTGTATGATCACCATCTCTTGAAATATGACACATTCCAAGAATGAGGAAATATAAGAGATTATAAAGGATATCGAGCAGCGGTTTAACAAGATCCAGAAATTTGGCATACCAACTGTTCTCCATATGATCACCACTTCTTGAAATTTGACACAAATTCCAAGATCATTGCATCGGAAAATGTCTTTTGCCAAAGGATTGAAAAATAGTGGATTTTGTTGGAGAAGGCCCCCAGGTCCTCACCAGGCTCATGACATGTAGATTGCAGGTTCAAATTGTGTCCCCGCCTAATTAGTGGAGTTGCAACCAGGTCAAAAAGGGGTACTCTGCTCTTTATTTAAGTGCACATTATTATTTTTTTGTCAACTATCAATTAATAGTTTTAATTATATCTTCTTGAAGAAATTATATTGTATTTTGTAATTTTTCAAATACTAGCCCATCACTTCTTATAGCAGTGCCTCTTAATTAATATCAAAGAGAAGGAAATGAATTTTTAGAAAACCATAGGTACAAATTCATAGTACCCTATTGCCAACACTAATGATTATCATATATTTTTTCACCTTAGGATCCGTGTTATTATTGATGATTTTTTATTGCATTGAACAAGATAAAATATTCTAAGAAATTCTTTCTCTCTTTTCAGAAAGCCTTTGAAGAATCTACAAAATATTTTTTTAGAAGAGGATACGAACTTCAACCAGTCAGATAACAAGTAATGAATTAGATAAAGTCTAAGCCGAACTTGTTGTTTACCTTCCTTAGTGATAAACACTCAACTACACCTCATCCAATACTAGGTGTAGGCGATCGTACTCTAGTATAAACCTAACGAAGAGTTGGGGTCGATCCCAAAGGGAGTGGTACAAGTCAAAATTCAGTTACGCAGTTGTAAATGTGTTCTAAACGATTGTAGGAATAGAAATTATCAAAATCATTCAATTAAATCTAAGGGTTGACAACAAGTGTCAGATGGAGGGTTAAAAATTGTCAATTAACAACTAAGAAAAATAGGGGAGTAGTCAAATAGATAAGATATACTTGGGAATGTGATCAATTAAAGGCTAATTTCTCTATATGGATAATTGTAATTTACTAACAATTGCTGAATCTTAGTGAATAGGCTAGACCATAGATGCAATAGCTTTCTCTCAAACAACTATTACGATTCAAGCGAGTTCGCTCGAACCTCGACAAGCATAACACTATAAACAACCAAATACCTTAATTTATCTACTCTCTCGAGCTAGATAGGTAGGATCGAGTTAAGATTCACTCTCTGGAGCTGAACTTAAAACAACCCAATCACTATAATTATCAATCGATAACCATAGTTCTAAAATCTCTTTCTCAAGCAATCCCAAAAAAATAAATTAGAACTATATTTGCAACTACAATTCATGGGTTAGTACACAACTATCAATCAAACCCACTTCAATTCAACATTTAAATCAGTAAACAATAATAACCATAAACTAATTAGAATAAATATTCACATGATCACACCCCCAAGAATGAGGGTTTTAGCCACACATCATAAAAAGGAAGAAATCAATACCAATTACGTTCTCCATAATCTGGGTATTGCAATCCACATCTTTATAATGATTCAAAATTCTCAATGTCAAAAACCTAACTCAAAATCTATTAGAAAACTCCTAAAACTAAGTAAAACAATGTTCCAGACCAAAGTTCCAAGTTCAACAATGGGAAAATTACTTAGGAAATGACTGGATATCTTTTTTGCCTTTTTGAAATTCAATTTATACTTTCTCAAATTTTGACCTTTAGGACCACTAGGCGAGGTTAGTCGAGCATCGCCGACCAAGTCGGCAATGCGCTAATGGCTCCATTTCATCGCCGGTCAGGGTTTCGTGACTTTAGGAGATCAGGATCGAGGTCACTGATCCATTCAGCGGTTCGCCAACTGTCCATGTCCATCGCCAAGTTGGTTTTTACACAGGGTTGGCACGCTGGAACTTTTGGCGAGCTGAAGAGCCATTTGGCGGTTCGCCGAGTGGTCTTGATCACCAGTAATGCCTTTCTTTCAACTTCTTCAGCTTTTTCGCTCCTTTTTGCCTGATAATATCCTTGCCTTGCTCCTTCACCTTCATTTTTGCAAATTAACACTTTAACATCAGTTTAGAGCATAAATTAAGCATTGAGGACAATAAAACTATGAAAACAAAGCCCTAAATGAGTCGAAATCTCAAACTCATCAACACCCCCAACTTAAACTTTTGCTTGTCCTTACGTTAAACTAAAGATCAATCCGTTCAACAAGGATGTCTACAAACAGTGCTACTCAAGACTCAACCCAAATGCACACAAGACATTCAAATTTCGCATGCATGTTCAATTGTGCACTCTAAGTTTCAAATTGTGACTAACCATTATCAACTGGACTCAAGTTCACAATGCTTGCTTCAAATGAAAGTTCAAGCTCAAGAAAAGCAATCAAATTTCATCACCCCAAGAATGATTCCAAGATCACACAAAGATTCATCAATAATTTATAATTTCGGAATCAAACACAACTCTCACACTCCAAAAGATGAACACATGCATGACTCTACCCATAAGCTTGCCCTTATTTTCCAATCAACATTATTTTCAGCTCACTCAAGATCACAAAGGTCTTTCAAGGCTTGTGATGGGGTTGAGTGTAAATGTATGATTATTTTGGTTTAGTGACTTCTACCTTCATGAAGTGTGGCTTGCAATTCGCTTTTTCTCCTTCTCTTTCACCCTTCAAGAATGTTCACAATTCACCCTATTAGTTATTTAAGCATGACTCATTGGATACCCCATTTCTTTTGCTCCTTTCACAAGCTTTATTTCACAAACTCTTCTTTTTTCAGTCTTCTTCATTTCTTTTTATTCTCTCTTTTTTTATATGGAGGGGTTCCATCTTTTTCATCATAATCCTTCAAAGGCAGATTTTTCATATTCCTTGATTTTCCTTCTTTTTCACCACACCCCCAACTTAGACTTTTGGCCTAAGTTGGCTATTCAAATGAACCAATACTTCATGAAGGTTATAGGTGATGGGATAAAGAGGCCAAAGTTGTTCAGGTTTCTTCCAAAGAAAAAGGATGGCTCAAAAGGTGCCAAGCTAGGTTCACACTCTCACAAGGTGGCCACAAAGAGGTATAATATCAATTTTCGGTTCATTCTTCACAAATTGTGCCTAAGATCATTTCAATCGCTTGCTTCAATCAATCAATTGTAATAACGGGGCAAGTTCTAGGTGTCATCAAGCACATAATTCAAGACAACCTTACCACTCAAGACATTCACACAATCATCAAACAAGACTCTACAATTCTCAGCTAGCATACAATGATCATCACAAGAGATTGACTCAACAATCGGCTAGTCATAACGAGATGCTAGGAGTTCACATATGACCTATGTAACTCAATTTGCCTCATCGTAGCCGCACACTCATATCATTCAATCGAGAGCACTATTCAAGTCATCGATATTGATCATAATCGACGCTCAAAATTGCAAGAGAACAACCACAACCAAACACATCAAGAGGTGGAAATTTTTAAAATCGGTTCAAAATCGTATGTAACTTAAAACAAAGGACAAACATAATAGATCAACACCATATATATAAAACACAAGATACGATCCAACATTCACAAAACACAAAAATAGCAAATATCCACAAAACAGCCCAAATGAGATAGGTATGGAAATACCTCCCCCCGCCAAACAAATCAAGTAGTTGTCCTCAAATGAAAAGAAATAACAAAATAGTCTAGAAATCACAAAATGGAGTAAAAAGGGTCATCCTGCCAAGCTAAGCTTGGGGTGAGCTCTACATATCGGTGACTCCATCTGTCTGGGCATCAGTGCTCGACTCATCAGCATCCTTGGCTCCACTGGAGCCCACCATCAACGTCTCTCTTAACGAGGCCTGCACATCTGTCTCAACCATGGCTCCCTCAAGATCTGCTAAATAATCATACATAGTTTCGTCTCCATAGTGATCCTATTCCAGTTGTTTGATAGATGAAGCATAGAAAACGAGGGCAAGACTATGTTCTATATATTATAAGTGTTAGAAGTTCTTTGGGAGCGTGAGAGTACTTGTCAGTCCCAAATTATCATATGTGAGGGCACTATGTTTGCATTTGATAGTTGATTGTGTTAGCTAATGGTTGGTACTGCATAACCGTGATTGACTGTGCCCAATAGGATGTCGTCCATTGATTATTGCATAACAGATAGATTATTTTGTAAAAAATGTTGGTTGAGATAGCTACTACATAGTAGGGATGTGTTTTTTTGATGGTTCTAAGTTGAGGGTGTTGGTGTACCCTGGAATCATGACACATTTAACGCTCAAAACTAAGGATTAATGTGAAAACTTGAGCGTGTTTTTATGGATATGATGTGTTTGTTGATTTTTGAACAGGTAA